GTCCCCGCCCGGCCCCCGTCCTCCCGCTCGCGGCGCTTTGAACCCAAAAGAGGAGTGGGAGAAGGAGTCAGCCTCCGCAAACCCCAAGAGCAGCCTCTACTCCGCTGGGCGCCGCCATCTTGTGTGCAAAGGGGCGGGACAAGAAGCACGACAAGGAGGGCGGGACCACAAACTCTGGCCAATCGGTGAGAGCCAACGGCAGGAATGGCGAGCACTCATTGGTCCGTTTGAATGGCGCCCAAACATATTTACTTTCCAAAGGAAGAGGGCGGAGACAGATTAAAACTCCCGCCCCCTGGTGCGGTGATTGGTCCGTTGATAGGCGGAATCGGAATACGCGCTCCGAGCCCCGCCCTCTAAAAAAGGAGCCGGTTCCTGGAGGCAGCTAAATTTGGGTGTTTTTTTGTTTTGTCAGAGTCGCGCTCTGCCACCCAGGCTGGAGTACAGTGGCACGCTCACAGCCACCGCAACCTCGACCTGCTGGGCTCAGGCGACCCTTCCGCCTCAGCCTTCCAAGTAACTGGAACTACAGGCGTACGCCAACATGCCCGGCTAATTTTTTTGATTTATTGTAGAGATGAGGTCTCGCCAAGTTGCCCAGGCTGGTCTCGAACTCTTGGGCTCAGGCAATCCTCTCAGCTCGGCCTCCCAAAGTGCTGGTATTATAGAAGTGAGCCACCGCCCCTGTCCTTTGGGTGATTTTTTTTCTCTTGGCTCCTGAACATGAATTTTTTAGGCTCAGTCGGGTTCTAGGAAAAGCACCGCCTTCGCAGCCTACTAAGATCCGTTTCCTCGTCCTCTCCGATTACTTTATTTATTCTATCATGTATTGAGCTCCTTCAATGCATTGAGGATATAAAAAATACATTTAAGACAGTGCTGCTCTCAAGCCATTCACAAGGGGAAACATTGTTCTAGGGGATTCCCAAACTGCTATTCCCAACTTTCTTCATCAGGCTTTTTCAACATCCTCCGGAGATTACTTCATTGTCATCGCAAAAAGAGGCCACAGGTTGGAAACAGCTCAGCTTCCTACCCAGGCCTTAATAATTTGTTTGCTTGAACAATCTAGTTAGATATCTACACGGCTCCAGGTTCCTCGGGAAGTTGCTCTTTTCTTTAATACTCAAAACATATTTGAAACCCGTCCCAGATACACTGTTTTCTACAAGCTTCAAAGATACTCAGGGTACGCTTAGGGGAGTTATGTGTCCCCTGGTCACCTTTGCTTAATTTCCTACTTACAATGAATTCTCCATGTCCACTCTGTTCTGGACTCATGGTAGTGTCTTCCTCTCCTCCTCCTATCCTGAACACGACCGAGTCCTTCACTCCCCAAAACATCACTGGCTTGTGTACAGGGTAGAAAAAAAGAAAAACCTGGGCAACCCCCTCGGATCCCCTCCCACTGTGGGAACTTTTCTCTCCTCTCAATAAATCCTGTGAAAGAAAGGAAGGAAGGAAAGACAGAAAAGAAAGAGCTGAGGTGTGCAGCAAACCTTTACTCAGGCATTGGGGTCAGAGTAGGAGTTACACTAGAGTGCAGAAGCAAGGACTGCTATTTCTTTTTTTTTTTTGAGTTGGAGTCTCACTCTGTCGCCCGGCCACTGCAGCCTCAACCTGCTGGGCTCCGGTGATCCTTCCGCCTCAGCCTTCCAAGTAGCGCTACCACGCCCGGCTGATTTTTTGATTTATTGTAGAGATGAGGTCTCACTGCCCAGGCGGGTCTCGAACCCGCAGGCTCAGGCAATCCACTCACCTCAGCCTCCCAAAGGCGCGGGATTACAGGCTGAGCCACCGAGCCCAGCTTGGACTGCTATTTCTAAAACTCCACTGGCTTTCCCCTATACTTTCTCACTGCTGTCAAGCCCCAACTTGATTTTCTCAGGCCCCTTCTGTTCCTCTTCCTTTTGAGGATGCCCCTTTTCTTCTCCAGCCTTCAGAAGCCAACTTCCCAACGCTGATTTTCCAGAATATAAAGGGTGGGGGGAGGGACCAAAAAAAACCGAGTTATTTTTTAGAGGGTGGGTCTCTTGTAGTACAGGCTTCCCCATCAGCATCAGTGTACCAGCTAGAGTTGATGTGAGAGGCTGTTAGGCTTCAGTGAATTTTTTTTTTTTTTTTGGAGATATTTTTCAATGTGTTTGCCCATTTCATGATGGGTGACTTATGAGCACACCTGCCCACACCACCCTGAGTGTTCAGCAGTTTTTGGTCAAAACCCAAGTGACCTTTTTTTGTTTGTTTGTTTCCCTGGATGAAAAAAGTTCTCAAAAGAAAACATTTTGGCAATGTGGAAGAGGTGAAACAGAAAACAGCAGAAGCACTAAAAGGCATCAAAATTGACAGGTTCAAAAACTGTTTTGAGCTGCAGGAAAAGCATTTCTATAAATGTATTGCATCAGCCGGGCTCGGTGGCTCAGCCTGTAATCCCAGCACTTTGGGAGGCTAAGGTGAGTGGATTGCCTGAGCCCGCGAGTTCGAGACCTGCCTGGGCAGGCGAGACCTCTACTCCACAATAAATCAAAAAATTAGCCGGGTGTGGTAGTACCCGCCTGTAGTTCCAGCTACTTGGAAGGCTGAGGTGGAAGGATCGCCGGAGCCCAGCAAGTCGAGGCTGCGGTGGCCGGGAGCAGCCACTGCACTCCAGTCTGGGCGACAGAGTGAGACTCCAACTCAAAAAAAAAATTTTTTTAAATAAATAAATAAATGTATTGCATCAAATGGAGCATACTTGGAAAATGACTAAAGTTTAAACATGTGAGAATAAATACACAGGCCAGGCTCAGTGGCTCAGCCTGTAATCCCAGCACTTTGGGAGGCCAAGGCTAGTGGATTGCCTGAGTCCACAGGTTCGAGACCCACCTGGGCAACTTGACGAGACTTCATCTCTACAATAAATCAAAATTAGCCGGGTGTGGTAGCGCATGTCTGTAGTTCCAGCTACTTGGAAGGCTGAGGTGGAAGGATTGCCAGAATAAATACACAATTTTTTATAAATAAATTCCAGGGTTTTTTTCCTTTCCCCCTTTTGTCCCCTCTCATAGTGTATGTCTACTCCAAGCCTAATCCAAGCCTTGAGCACAAAATGCTCATCTCTCTAAACAAAGGAGAATACTATAAAGATTAGCTATGGTCTGGGCATGATGATTCACACCTGTAAAACCAACACTTTGGGAGGTAGAGGTGAGAGGAAGGATTGCCTGAGCCACTGCACTCCAGCCTGAGCAACAGAGTGAGACTCTGAGTCAATCAATCAACCAATCAATCAATCAATAAGATTAGCTGTATCCCCCGTCCAGATTATGGTCTGCTGTGATTATTTTTGCTGATGCTATTTTTATTGTCCCACTATGCATCCTTTCCCCGGTTTCTTTTTCTTTTTTTTGTTTTTTTTTTTTTTAGTTGGAGTCTCACTCTGTCACCCAGGCTGGAGTGCAGTGGCTCAGGCAATCCTGTCTCTCAAAGTGCGGGGATTATAGGCGTGAGCCACCACACCCAGCCTCCCCAGTTTTAAATCTTGGGGAATGTGCCTACCTCCTTTTCAAGATATTCAATCCCATCAACCTCTCCTCTCCTCTTTGGGGATCTTACTTGTCCAGTGAACACCACATTGTTATTAATCAATCTTTCTGCCACACTTGACACCACTGACCACTTCCTCCACCCTTGGCCGCAGGGACAATTCTCTTTCCTATAGTCTATTTCCATCATGGCCTCCTCTCCTGTATACCTGATTTTTTTTTTTTTCCGAGTTGGAGTCTCACTCTGTCGCCCAGGCTGGAGTGCAATGGCACGCTCACAGCCACTGCAGCCTTGACCTGCTGGGCTCAGGTGATCCTTCCACCTCAGCCTTCTAAGTAGCCAGAATTACAGGCATGCACTACCACGCCTGGCTAATTTTTTTGATTTATTGTAGAGATGAGGTCTCGCCAAGTTGCCTAGGCAAGTCTCCAACCCACGGACTCAGGCAATCTACTGACCTCGGCCTCCCAAAGCGCTGGGATTACAGGCTGAGCTACTGAGCCCAGCCAGTTCATTTCTTTTCTTACCCAAGTGCTTCTACTGCTCAAATCCTCTCCCGCACAATCCACAGACCTTTGTGGCTTTTGTGCACAGTTGCCTCATGTCTCAGGATTGGATTTAGAGATGTGCAGAAGTGTTTCTCTGGGTCTGAACAGTGTTATTTCCGGAGCTGTGCCATCACGCCCAGCTAATTTTTTTTTAATTTATGTATTGTAGAGATGAGGTCTTGCAAAGTTGCCTGGGCTGGTCTTGAACCCATGAGCTCAGGCAATCCTCTCACCTCGGCCTCCCAAAGTGCTGGGATTATAGTCGTGAGTCACTGCACCCGGCCTATATACTTGCTGATTTCTCATTCTATGTCTTCAGCTGGAAACTCTCTTGCAGCTCCAGCTGCTTCCTGGACAAGGACAGCTCCTGCATATATCCTACTGGTGCATCACACTCAATGTGCCCCAAATCAAACTTGGCAAACGTCCTGTATCTACCCCGTATGCAATTAACCGACCACTCTTCCACACGAAGAAGCATATAGAGACCTTCTCAGAGTCGGCAGGATCGTCGAAGAGTATCTCCATTAGCTTGAGACCAAGACCTCCCCTTTGAGTGATCTGAGATTCATTCAAAGTCACCTTTAATGACACCGGGGAAACACAGCTGGTAACCCTGCTTCAGACTCAACTGACTTTAGGGAGGAAGTTCAAACTGTTTGCCAGTGTGAGTCCTAGGGATTGAG